TTGTTATACATAAGTCAGCAGACTTATAACTAAAGCAGTTTGGTTAATTTTTATTGAGATTAGCTTTTCTATTGTCAGTGTTGATTTATTTTCGACGTTATTCTGAAAGTGAATTGCTCTAGATTTGATTTACTTCTATACATTTATTTCATGGTATACCTTACATTGTTATATTAGATGGAACGTTTTTTAGAACTGCATCTCAGCAATGAAAAATCAACACTTTTCTCATAAATTATGATTATATTCTTGTTCTAACACCCCTTTTTTTAATTAACTCATTTATGCTTGTTTTCAATTTTAAAAGGGAGTTTACTCTAAAGTTTTTTTCTTAATCATTTCTTACCATGCATAAAAATTATTGTGTTTATAACTGCATATTAACTTAATCAAAATTGTTTAGTGTCGCATTTTTATGCTGATTATTTCTATTGTTTGTAATAGTATAATTAAATGATAAACAGATATTATTAAAAACAATTTATGTTCTATTTCATTATGTTTGCACTTATCAAATAGATAAGATCAACATATTTGCAGCTAATATTTGAGATAAAATATTTTGTGTATGCTATGTATTACATTTGCTATTAACTAATAGAATTTTTTTTAAAGTATTATTATAATTTAACACTATCAGGGAATTTCCTTATGTGCTTCTACTTTTGGTTTTAAAATATACAAAGTTTCTTTATTGAAAATATAATTTTGCTAGAAATAATTGTTAAACTTTTGGTAATAGAACCCAATTTTCTTTAAATCATTATATTTTCTTCCTTTCACTAACTATCTATTGGTATTTACAGTTTTGTCAAACTTATATTTCAGTTTGAGTTACTTATATAAAAACAAAATATTAAAATTTGCATTTTTAACTTGAAAAAATACTAAGTTTTTTCAGTTACAAATATGTATTTATTGCTTATTGATGTACTTAGGTAAAAAGTATTATTATTAAGCATTAATGCTTATTACAGTTTGTATTGTTAATAAACATTTATAATTATTATTATTAACTTACATATCATTATAATGAAATTTTTATGTAATTTGTTTGAAAGAAACTGACGATTATTTTAGTAATATTTTGATGTATTATTTCCATCTAAAATTTAGAATTTTTCCTTCTTAAAAAAGTTAATATGTATATAGTTTCTGAAATTTGAATGAGTGTTTTAAGATTTAGAGTTATCTAATTTGAACATTACCTTTTTAGTTCAAAAACTAAAATTTTTTTAAAAATTTACAATTCTGTGGCTGGAAATGATATTCAAGATTAATTTGTAATTTTGAATATTTCATTTTGAGTAGCCAGAGTAATAATTTTAACATAATTATTAAATTAAGTAAGTGTAAGTTTAACAAAAAAGGACATTTTTTTCAGCATTTTCAAATTTTTGCATGTAAATTAGCTAAAGTGATGTGATAACAATGTCTTGTTAGCTTGGCTTGTCCAAGTTTCATTAGAAACAACAAAGTAATAATGCTACCATTTAATGCTTTGAGTATTAGTAATTTTTTGTAAAAATTGCTCACCTGCATTCTTATATTGTTCAATGGTACAAACAAGAAAACAACTATGCAAATTTAGAGAGTTAATTTAAATTTGCTTTTTTACTTTATTTCAGTTTTTTATTTAAATGACCTTTATGTCTAACTATTACTGTGTTAGTAGCCTTACTTTATCAAGAAGAGTATTTTCATTTTATGAGGTTTTTTTTTCTTTGCTTGCTTGAATGATACATCTTAACTTTGGTCAAATCACTTAATGTCTTCCTCAATATTCAAATTAGTTCATCAGTTTAGATTATTGAAATTAAACTTTCTTTTTTTTAAAAAAAAATTATATTCAGTCGTATATTTGTATTATATTCAATTTTTCAATGCAAAGTATAGAGTGGCCCATTTGAAACAGTACAAAAAATATGTCAATAATAAAACAAGATATATAATCAAAATGTGAGAAGCAAGGACTGTGCCTCCTTCCCTTATTACACAATTGCAATAAAAGAATCAAACAAAATGTGTATTTAGGTCCACTTATTCCTCCTTATCAGAGAGTTTGGGCTCTTTTACCACGGATAACATGTTGCTACTTGTAAGAATTATTTGCATAAATTTTTTTCTACCAGGCTCCCCAAGTGTAAAAATTGCAGGTTTTTAAATTTGGTGAATTAGATGTCAATTTTTCTTTGCATCTGTGTTATTTGCAATACAATGCATTTAAAGAAAGTGTGTATTGACACATACATGATGCATAAGTGTTTATTGACATTGCTTGCACATACAATTAATGCACTTTTTATAATATAAGCAATATACTACTAATTAATGTTGATTTTTAGTTTACTGAATTTGGCTATGCAGTATATGAGAATTAGATCAGTATCTATCATTGCCAACATTTACTAAAGTATAGATTTTTGTAAAAATGCATCACTGATTTAATGCATCAAAAATTACAAATGAAACCTTTTAAATAAAAGAAAATATATAAATTCAGAAGATATTTTAATGCTAAACATTAGTCACATGCAATAATTAAGCATCTTATGTAAGTTAATCAGTTTAGCGTTTAATTTTCTTCCCCTTTTAATGTTTTTAATTTTTAAAAAAATTCCCTTTTTAAAAAAAAAATTAAAAGTTTTTTGCAAAACTTGTGAAATATATGGGAAACTTTATTGGAACATATTTTTAAAATTAATAACTCATGTAAAAGTTACAAATGATTAAAATATATATACTATTCTAAAATGAAAGACTTTTTTCACTCTTGAGAATTTTTTTCAAAATAAAAATACTTTTTTTAAAAAGATTAAAACTAAGATTATTGAAACTGATTTAGATTAACTAAAGCAACCAACTTCCAACAAAGCGTTTATCTATTATTGCCATAAAATGATAAATTCTAAGTAGTCATGCAGTATGAAGATAGTGTTTTATTCATTTTTTTTTGGGGGGGGGGGGGCTAAACTTACAGCTCAATTATGACAGGATATTATTGATGATGGGAAAAATGCAAAACTAAGTGAATGCGTAAAAAAAGTTTAAAAGAAGAAAAAAAACACTTTGGAATTTCTTTTTAATTAAAGGTATTAAAAAGCTTCTTTAATTGAGATTTTACTGTATATTAAATAATTTCCTCCTGTGTTTACAACAATCTAGCTTTGAATTAGATTATATGGGGAAAAATATTATTTTTAAAACTGTTAACGCTATTTGGTAATGGGTTGTATAATTTGTTGTTTTATTTAAATAGTGATATAAGTGCAATTGATTTCTAGTCATGCTTTGTAATAAAAGATTTGTTACAATTGTAGTTGTCAAACATATGTATTTATTTCGTATCTCGTTTTATTTTTTAAAAAAAAGGTGAAACAAACGTATTTAGCTACGAAATATTTTTTTTCTTTATTAAATTATTATCATTCGGAATAAAAATGTTATTTATTTAATTGTAAACATTTTTTTGTAAGGATTTTGTTTTATTATAATGCCTTATAAGTAAATCGCTATGAGTGATGAAACAAATTTGTTTATTTAGTTAAAATATTTATTTTCTGTTATGCTTATTTATAATTTTCTGTTGTGCTAATTTGGTTGTGATTGTTTGCTATTTTTATGTACTGAAGTTTAACATGTTTTATATAGATTCAATATTTCTAAGGAATGATACCATAATGGATATTTGTAAGGAATGATGTAATATTTGTAAGTGCTAATTTATACATTTTCTTTCATTTGAACAAACAGTGTATCTTGAAGCAAGTTACTTTGTTTCACAAGGTTTTAACCAATACTAATATAAAGCATTTTATTACTAGATTTGATTTGTTCATAATTTTCATTTAATTTTAGTTTAATCGATTTTGCTGAAATATAAAATAAAGTATGACACTTATTTGTCCATGCGTTTTTTAATTAAATAGCTAGTAAAAACTGCTTATCAACGTGATTTCATTCACATTGATTTCACTCAACTATGGAGTAACCAAGGAGAGAGGGCGCTATACTGCAGGAGAAACATTCCATTTCAAATTCTTTTCCATTTCCATTAGTATTTTAAAGCTTAGAGAAAAAGGAGTTCAGATAAACCTAGAATAAGCCGTGAAGTTTAAAATGCTAAATTAAATTTTTTTTTAGTATCAAAATACAAACAAATTGTCGTAGGATAACTTTCCTATTGTGTTATCCTAAGTTATCCAATAGTAATTTGTTTACTTTATAATATTGTGAGATTTTTTTCTTTAAAATATTGAAGAAAAACAAATTATTTGAATGGTTTAAACCCTTCATGGCCCCTTCTTTCAACTATATTCGTAATTTATCAAAGTATAGAAGAAAAAAATGAGTACAAACAAATTAAGTGTAAATTATGAAGTTTTAAATACTGAAAATATATTCCCCCTTTTTTTCAATACCAAATTATGACAGGAATTGCAAACAATTTCCAACATTTGTTAAAAGACAAAATTTCTCACCCAGTATCGAAAAGTTTAAGAGATTCTACGAAGGATGGGTGCATGTACAGTTATTGGATAATAAAAAATTAAACCCTTATAGTTTAAACAATTTTCATTTAATACACTACCATTTTATTAAAATATTTTTAAAATATCCTACGTTCAAAGGAAGCTACATCAATTCAATCAAATAACAAATTAGTTTTAGGGCTGTGATTAGAGAATCGAACTCTGGTATGCAGGGGCCGGGTACGAACCCTGACTTCGTTAAGACCTACCGAGTTCATGCAGTTGCAGTATATGCACTCGTAAAATCTGTGGCATTGAAAGTCTCATGGTTTAGGGATCTGAAGAAAAAATTTTTCCCTTTCAGATCTATGTCTAAATTGAGGAAATGGCCTCACGAATTAATGGTACTGTCCTCTATCTGTGGGGTTCTCTACAGTAACCCGGTAGTATCGGCAGTCAAGAGCGTGCAGCTCTCCCTAGTGTAGAAAACACCAATCATATCGTCATTTGAAATAAAACAATATCAAAAGAGAACAGCTAGTATTTTAACTAAATTATTGCAGAACATTGATGAATAAATATATCTTTTTGATTATACATTCATTATTAAGCAGCACTGCTTAAACACTATACATAGATTTTTAAATAACTAAAAAACTGTTAGTGATTTGAATTTTCAGGCATCTTGACATTCTTTGTTTCGTTTCTTTTCCTTATGTTTAATTGGACAGGCATTTTTGTTTGTATGTGCAGCAAAATGCTTCTCAGTTCCAAATCCTTCCCTGAGTAGTCTGTACCATCCATGAATTTTCTACAAAAGGAAATGCATGAGTTTTAATCAGCACAGATATAAAAAAAATTGAATTTTTAATAGCTATGAGGTATGGTCGGTAAATAAAAGGACGAGCCACAACAAACACCCCATTTTAATGTTACATATCATGGGTATTCCTGGAAATGAGCTGGATGATGAATTAGCAAAGGCCGACTCAAGTGCGTCGAACCAGCTTTGGGAATCTTTCCCGTATTCTTCAAGGCCTCTATTTTCAAGCTTTACGGCAAGATTGAACATGAGCAATGGCGCAACTAGGACGGTTAGAGACAAGCCAAGGAGTGAAATCGTGACTGCCGCGGTGCACGTCAAAAAGAGCTTCTCAAGTTAAACAGGAATGGCTTGAGGAAGATCATTGATCTTACTGATCATTGCACCCTCAAGAGACACCTCTACATTATGGGTATTGCACCCGTTCCTCTTTGTCAGGGTGTCGTCTTGAGGAAGAAACTTCACGACAGATGCCTCCTGTACTCATATCTACGAGGGGCCCGTCAAAAATTGATTTTCGCAGTATCTATCATGAAAATGTCCAGCATTGCAGCAGCTTTATTAGACACTAAATTTACTCATAAAATACTTTGCACCTAGTACATTAGTGTATATTTGCTACCTCTTAAAACTGCACTAATTAAAATAATGCCAGTAGTGATTATTACCAAAATTAAGAATCATTGGTGTCAAAAATAGTATGGAGATTTTTTACGGTTCTCCATAACGAATAAGTACATTTTTTTCCATTAATTTTGCTTTGTTGTACAAAGCTTATTTTTTTAAAATTTCAGTTAGCAGTTATTACCAAAATTAATTAAGCATCGTTGACTTTAATAATTTATTACCGATTTCTCTCTGTTAAACGAATTAGTACCGTTTCTCCATTAATTGTGCTTTTTAGTACATAGCTTGTTTTTTTCTTTACTTCAATTAGTAACTATTATTCATTTTTTGAATTAAATATTTAGTTTTAGAGGAGCCTAAAATTTCGACGCTCTCCTGACTAAACTAACGGAATATTTTCCAGATTGCAGATTTTTCTAAAGAGACTTACAGTTTGTTTAGAAAAATAAAAAAACTGGTATTATACTTACATGAGAGTTGTCCAAAAAATGCTGTACACTGAAAGACATGCAACCAACCAATTCACTTCTCCTAGGAGGAAAAAATATATGTTAAACCGTTAATTACTTTTGAGCTAATTTACAGATTTTTACAGACTACGGTGCAATCTTTATGGTTAGGCTCTTGGTGAATATGGTTATTAACTAATGTAGATAAAGAAGCACACTAAATTAGACAGGAAATGACATATTTTTCAATAGATATGAAATTTTGACTCGCAAGATATTAATTATTGCGCTGTATTATTCCAATAACTTAGGATTCTTCGACCAGCCGGATTCAAACTCCTGTTCTCACGAATCCAACGCCCAGCTAACCAGGCTATCCCAGCCCTACCCATAGTGATTGATCTTAATAAGTATTTGAGCCCTGGTGGCTCAGGGAATAGAGCGTCTGCCTTCCAATAAGGTGAGCCGGGTTCGAATTCCAGAGATTGCTGGTCGATACGAATTCCGCACCAGGCTAGCGCCGATCACACTGCTAATGCAAAATATCCTCAGTGGTAGACAGATCATGGGTTAGAGTCCTCTTGCCGTCTGTCTAACCGCGGGAGGTTTTCCTCTCCATGTAACGCAAATGCTGTTTAGTTCAATCACAAAGTCCTCTGCGAAGGCAATTTCTCCCAATGCTTGATCCAGGAGTTTCCTTGTTCAAATTTCAAGGCTACGAAGTTGAACATTAATAGTAGTAAACTCAAAATTGGGTCGGCTGAACGACGGTTATAAAATAAGTATTTACGAATCATAAGTAGTGAAATATGTTCGTGAGAATTATGATAGCCGTGGTGGCTCAGGGGATTGAGCGCTCGCCTCCCAATAAGATGACCCGGGTTCGAATCCTGGTAGACATGAATTTCTTACTTGCCTCGTACCAACCACAGTGCTGACGTAAAATACCCTCTGTAATAGTTAGTTCCATCAAAAAGTCTTTCCCGAAGGTAAAATTTCTCCCAATACTCGTTAAAGGATTTCCTTTGAATTCTGGATTGGCTTCAACATTACAGGGCTATGGAGTTGAGCATTGGTAGTCATAAACTCAAAATTGTGTCTGATGCTACAGCAAGTGTTATAAAATGAGAATTATGAATCGCATATCGCAATTTATAGTAACATGTTTTATGCATACATCGCTGTTCTTAATTTAGCGTTTTGAAAATTAGGAATCGCAACTCATATTTGCGTGATTTATTAACCACGATTCTTCACGTGATTTACGAATTACGACTTCGCTCTAATATTTTTTTTAAAAAATATCACATTACTATTCGAATTAATCTGATCTGAGGAACACTTTTATTCTTCTAAATGCGGAACATTTTTATTTATCTGTGGAACATTCAGTGCAAATCTTGCTTGCGTACTTAGGTGATCTGATCACTTCATAGTTGATGTTTAATTTAATATTGAAGAACCAAAGAGGAGAATTATTGGTATTCAGCTTACTTTTTTTCAAAGTCTCGATGCCACACGGAAAAGACCAATCTTTTTGCTATATCACTTTCTAATATTTCGCTAAAAAATAAAGGGAAAGAAGTTAATTACTTCAAAATATTCAAAGTTTCGTTTGAGTTCGAATAAATTATTTAGTTTTTTGTTCTTGTTATACTTACAACGAAAATAATTGGTTGAACACTGGATTCTTCTGTTCTTTTTGCACAGAAGTTCGCCAATTGACTCGTTTTGATTCATCAGGGACCATGGATATCTTAATTAAAAAAATTATTATGCTTTAATTTAGCTTTAGTAAATAAAATTAAAATAACTGTCATGAAAATCTATATAATTGAAAATAAAATGATTTATAAGTTAGTTTACCTTTACATATGGATTTAGAAGACTCCTGCTATTTTGTTTACTGAGTTTTGCTGCTCTCGCAACTAAAAAATAAGTAAATAAAAACATTATATGAATTATTCATTAGCGCATTAAGATTGTTTTTGGAAGGCTTCACCTTCACAAGAAAAAAAAAACTTATTTTAAATTAGAACAAAGTCACATTAAAAAGAAAAGAAAAAACTATAATTTGGAAAAAGATATTGAAACAAATATTACAATGAAGATTAAAGTTAGTAGCTTTATATTTTGGAGAATTAAAGGAAAAAAAAAATCTTCTGTTTGATCATCATTAAGGATTTACTTTACAATTTTAATTTAAATTCTAAAATTATTTTTAAAAAAAATCTTTTTAAATGAATATGCATAGATTATTCCCCGTCCCCCAAAAAAAGTTAAAGATTAATTTAACGGTATGTTTGTTGTAAGGAAAGCTAATTTTAGATACCATATATTTATCAGCGTTGAACTTATATTTTTTAAATCATCACTAGATATTAGCACCTGTCTAAATTAGTCTTAACCGATTACAATTAAATATTTCGATCGGATAAACAAAGCATTTTCTTTATTTTATAATTGAATAACCCCCCCCCCCCTCCAGTAAAAAAGGTAATTCCTTGTTAAATTCCTTAAAACGATTACAGTTCAGCAAAATTTTACCAACATACTTTGGCACATAAAAATTGAAGTTTTCAAGTATTTTATAAAAGGTTTTTAAAATGACCTGAGTTTTGTTTGTGAATATGATTAGGAAGAAATGCGCTTCAGTTATTAAGTACTTAGAAATTTATTAAAAATACTTACTGTGTATTGTCACCATCCCAGCATTGTGATAGATTTTTAGTTTCAGTTTTCCTGTAATATTAAAAATATGTTCTCAATATTTTTGAAAAGAAACTGGAGATAATTTTTCTTAGACGAATTAATACACAGTTTTGTTTTTTGCTAAACTTTGACATTTTATTCTAATTATTGTTTTCTTTTTCTTCCATAAATTTAACTCTTCAGATGTCTAGTGCTTGAAAATTGAAAAATGTGCAATTTTTGAACAACTTTTTTTTTAAAAATCTTATTCTTCGCAGGTATTAAAGAATAATTTTCTAAAAAGAAATTATAGTCTTCAACTGCCTCGCAGCTGGTTGAATCGATGAGTCCAAAAACCAGTCATCTCCACTTTTTTTTATTTTTAAAAATGAGAGTTTTGCATTTTTAAGTTTAGCTGACACAGTTAGGATGTAAGAAATTCATGCCTTCTTACTTGATATTGTATATTTTGTGCAGTGAAGTCTCAATTAAGTTCGAAAACATGCCATATCCTAGAGAGGACCTGTTCTCGGAAACATCTTGGAAATATACCGCTAAATGGCAGCTGCTATTGCTTATGAAATTGTTTGCATAACATAACAATTATTTAGTTTATGCTTGTTATTTTGTTGATATTTTTTATCACACAATGAGTGATTCCAAGGGTAATTCTTTAGATGGTATATGCTATGCAAGAAAATAATAAAAAGTAACTTTGAACCGTAAAGGAGGTGACGACAAATAATATGATATTTGATGCAAAAGTTAGTAGACAGAGCATAAGAAAAATGTGATATCAAAATGCAAGAAAGGTGAAATAACAGTTTAAGGAATCACATTATACCAATTTTACTCATAAAAGCTCTTAACCTGGTGAAGTTGAAGTATCTGTTTTCGTTGGTGGTTTATGCAAATTAATATTTTCTATATAAACCAAATGAGATTTTATCTTCCTATGAAGAAATTTGTAAGTTGCCCAGCGCGGATAGTCGTAATCCAAAAGATTTCTGCATCTACACAGATATCCATGAATATGTAGTCTAAGACTTGGTTTAAATTTCATAATTTTTAAGTTAATATGTAGTTTAAAGTTTTTATCTCGAACGATTAGAGCTTACTTGTTGCCCTCTTTCCCAACTCTAAGACAGGTTGATAAATCTCTAAAAAAATTATTCATTAGCATTTTATTTCAACAATAGGAAACTTATTTTAATTTTTCATGTTATTCAGAAAATTTAGAAGAACGATTCCGTAAGACAAAACTTTGTAATTCTTAAGTTACGCTATTTTTCATAAAAATGTCACACAATATTATGCCAGTTCGTATTTACTTTTAAAAACAATTTTAAAAAAAAATGTCTTACAGAATTTTTGCTTATGGTCTCATGTAAAAAATTGGATCTACATGCAATTGGAGATACAGAAACTGAAAAATGGAGATAATTACTCTGTTAAAGTTTCATTTTGTTGTTTAATGACACCATTTAAAAATTTTTTAAATTATGTCGTATTGTATAAGATTTTTCCGAACTTAAAAGAATAAATTAAAGTACTAAAATTGGTTACTAAACATCAGGTATTTTCCATTGGTGCTGTCCTCTTTAGAAAAAGTTTAAAAAAATTAAAAATGCAAACAAATTATGGCAATATTTACTCGGGATAACGGAGTGGGAAAATAATCCTGTAATAACCTGTTTGCATTTTGACGTTTCGAAAAATTTTTTCAGTTATTAATATATAATGATTTATTCTAAGTTTATCTTAAAACACTTTTCTAAACTTTAAAATCTTAAACTACCCATAGATGCTAAACAAAATTTGTCATTAAATATCACTTCAGCGGTATATTGTTCACTTAAGCTGTGATTAACATAGAAATACTAAATTCAAACTCAAATTCTTTTCTTTTTAACATTACGTAAGACATTAGTCATAATTACCTTTGCAGCTGAGAACATCTTTAGACTTATGCTTGACAACTTTAACTGGGGAAGGTATATAAATTGGCTGCTCTTGAACTGCTTTTACAAAGCTAGTTTCTTCTGTTTTGATAGGTGACAGACCCATACCAAGCCTAATTGCATTTTCTAGCAACTGTAGCCCAGATTCAGATGTAGTCGAATCGTCATGGGACGAATCATTTGAAGCATCTGATGCACTGAAAGGCCCAGAGATTGTCGTTGGTGATCTACTCCAACCATCGGGCAAGTTCCTTTCTTGTAATGCCATGTTTTCAGATTCAGATGCACCATTTTGGGAGACATTTGACGATTTAATGGTTAGACGATAACTATTTGACTTTGAAACGGGCTTCTGGTCATTAGTACATTTTTCCAAAAAGCTGTTTTCAGTCAAAGATGAAACTTGTTGAATAGGTTTAGGCGAGGAATGTTCCATTTTGGCGATGTCTGGAAGCGATAGAGATTTTTCTAGAAGAGGCTTAACTTGTTTCGCTTTCGCCTCTAAGAATATGTTCTGGGCAATATTCCCGATGATGTTCGCAAACTCCCCTTCACTGATTTCTTCTGATTTTAGACTTTTGACTAAGTCGTTAACATATTTGTCTCCAGAACTTGTCGAGCTTTCTGAAACATCATGCTTGCCAGAATCGGCAGACAGATTGGATAGAACACTCGGTTTCAGTAATTCTCTGCATTCTAGTGAAAGCTTCTGAAAAATTTCTTGCAACAATATAACCGAGTCGCTAAAAAATGGTGGCGACTTCAAAGGCGATGTAATTGCCTTCTTTTCCCGATCTATTGGCGTAATTGACTCTTTGTGTTTGATTTCATCTGCATGGAATAAAGCTCTTGGAACATTTGACTTTGCTTTCAATTTTTCGCTTTTAGAAATTGGCGTAGAAATCATTTGTTTTATTTCTTGAGAGCTGTAATTTTGTTTAGTAGCGCTGTTAATAATTTGAGTAATATTTTCATAAATGTTTTCTATTTTTTTGTTCAAAGCTTGTGGTTGCGCTGTGTTGTTTTTAACGGGCGTTTTACACAAGGAGTCATTACATTCATACCATGAAGCACCATGATTCGTTTCGGTATCTTTTTCACTCTGAACGACATCGCTAGACTTATTAATACGAATTGGACTCTCTAAAACTGTTTCCAAATGTCTTTCTTCTTTCGATTCGAAATCATCCGTCCTTATGAAAAAGAATCTATCGTCTGCATTGGCTTGATATTTCCCGTACTTTCTGGATAACCTCGTGGAACAGCTGGAACAACTACAGTTAAAACTGCATTCGTCATCTGCCATCGATGAAAAGCCTTCATCACAGTCTTTGCTCTTGTATTTACAAAGTTTATTGACAAGCATTCTTTTCTGGCTATACATTCTGGTGACAATAGCTTGCTTCTTAGTTCGGCTTATATACCGATATTGTTCAGAGGTATGTCCCACATCATTCTGAAAGTAATTCTGTTTTAATCTTTCGGGTGGAACAAAAGGACATCTCTGGACAGCTTCACTTGATCTACTTCTAATAACATTCTTTTTGGAGAACGGCTGTTGTTGATAGTTAGAGGCTGGTATCTGGATGTGGGAGTTGGTGGCATTGGAAACATAACTTTGTTGCGGAAATTTCATTTGAGTGTCTAGTCGAAATGGTACGCTAGAAGTGTAAGTTTCTGCCAAGGGAATGTAATGAGGACTCTCAGATCTCGACCTTTGTTTCTTGGAGAAATTCCAACTGTTTCTCTTTTTCTGAGCTAAGGGTAAACCGATTTCATTGATAGCCTTGTTAGGATATAAATCTATTTTCCGGTTGACATTTTCTGCAAGAACCCTGTTTGAAAATTTAGTTTTTTTGTTGTTAGGAAAATACCCTTGTGATTGATTTTGAATTGAGGTGAAATTCAGATTTGATCTGATTTCATTAGTCTTACTAGAATTGCTAATGTTTCTAGTGTTAAGTTGATTTTGCCATGATAACCCGGAACTAGGTACCGAACTTTTTGGGAATTGCTGTGAGTTTGAAGATATAATAGGTTCACCCAAACTTAGCCTATGTGAAACAATCTGCCTAGATCGATCTCTCATTTGATGTATATTCAATATCTGATCAGAAAAATGAGGTAAGTTCCGAGAACTATATTCACCCGGAATGTTTAATTGCTCACATGATCTAGGTTTTGCCACATATGTTTGACTTCCTCCATCACCAAACATCTGAGAACTTACACCTGTGTGAATTAGTTCTCCATTGTATACTTCTCTATTAAATTTAGCGTTTTTAGGTAAAGTTCCATACTTTGTAATGCCTGACACGTTTAAATGAGGCATTGATCCATTCTTTCTATCAAATAAAGCCAATTTCGTAGATGTTCGTTGCATGGTTGGCGTTCTTTTTATTTCTGGACCATCGTAGTAACTCACATTTACCAATCTTTTAGCGTTTGTTTCACTAATAGCTTGGCTATCTGAAAATACAAGTTTTTGAGCCAAATTTTCTTGGCTTTTACCCACACGCAAAATAGGCCTAGCAGGCTTAATATTTTTAGTCCTATCAATGTTTTCCTTGTCTTCATCTTTTTTATTCTTTTTAGACGGAGCAGCTTTAGTGTTAACTTTATAGTATTTATTCATTGGCGTTGGAACAAACTGAACATGTTTCCCATCCTCTTTAGCCAGCATTTGCGAAACATGATTCTTATTTACAAATATTATGCCAGCATCTTTATGCATTTCCATCAAATCACTGTTGTCTAGGGTCGTAAAATTAACCCCGTCATCTTGTTCCAAAGGGGTGGGTTTCGAACAATGGAAACTACTGTGCAAAAAACTTTGTCTTAAGAAGGATTCATCACTTTTTTTCTCAGATTTTTTCGATGTCTTGAACAATTTACCCCAAAACGATGTTTTAGTTTTTTTGTCATCTTGTGAAACGAACGAGCTCATAATTAATTCTCAATCCGCTGGCAGTAACCCTAGGAAATTAAACAATTATTAAATATTCATGATTTTGATATTTAGTGTCTTTTGTCATGATGACAGAAATTTCTTATTAATAATACAATACGAAAAAATTTAATTTATTTTCATAATTAGGACAAAAGAAGTTGTATATTGTCTCAGGTCCAAATTAAAAGTGATTGTCGTAAATTAAATCGATCACCAACGAACGAACCAAGCAAATTCATTGCTAAGCTAGTTTAACAGTACAGATTAACACGCATTAACAAATGTACAGATAGTGGTAATCAAACATATGTTAGATATTCATAAATTTTCGATTACTTTTTTTACCATTATGGCAATAATCTTATTAATGGAGAATCTCTCTAATTAAGTGATTGCCCTAAGCCTATCGGTAATGAACCATGCAAAATCATTGTTAAACTGATCCAACTGCATAGATTAACATGTTGATTTTAATAAATGTACAGATAATGGTAATCAAACATATGTTAGATATTCATAAATTTTCGATTATTTTCTTACCATAATGACAATACTCTTGTGGAGGCGGAGTTATCCACAATGCCAACCTTCATCTATCAAAAGGTACCTCGTGATTTAATCAAGTTAGCATGTCATATATACCAGTGAATTGATGTTTAATTTTCGTAGTGGTAGTTACGCCACAATACTTCACCAGAATTTTGTCAGTGAAAGAATTCGATGAACGGATACCACTAGTTGCTGTACTTATGAAGGATCGGGAGAGCTGGTTTTAAGGTTACAGGGTTTTTAAGTGCTGGATATGAGAAGTGTATTAACTTCACAGTCGTAGTCGCTCCTGTGTTGCCATTAACAGTCGAGTGGATGCAGGCAGACGTTGTGTTTAATCGAGACGAGACTGAGTAGCAACAGCGTGAGGAGGTGGATAATCACGCCTGGGTCACCACTTATCTTTGGCGAGAAATCGGTTGTGTTCATAAGTCTGCATGTTTAGTTAAGTCTGTCGCCAAAGATAACAAAAAGGAAAAATGCCAAATTTAAACATAACTTTAATGGAAACTTAACAACAAAATTAAAAACATACAAGAATAATCGAGCAAGTAATAACTGAAGAAAAATGTAAAGCAGATTGCGAAAAAAGAAAAGAAAAGTAAAGTAAAGAACAAAGTATCACGATGGTTTCGATGGTAACGAAGTTTTACGATGATCACATTTTATTTCTTGAACTTCAGTTCAGTTCAAAGAGATTACAAAAAATACTTTGAGCGTAGGTTGAAATTTTTAGGTTAGCCAGAACATGAATTTCTCGAATCAATTACGATGATTACACCACACTCTCATAAATGGAGAATCTCGCTCATTAAGTGATTGCTCCTAAGCCTATCTGTAATGAACCATGCAAATTTATTGTTAAACTGATCCAACTGCACAAATTTGCATGCAGATGTTAATAAATTTACAAATTGTGGTAATCAATGTATCTTAGAAGATATTTATAAAGTTTCAATTATTTTTTGCCATTTATGACAATACCCTCTTATTAATGGAAAATCTTTCTCATCTTAACTCACCTGTAATCGCTTGTTCAGAAAAATTCTCAAGTCAATGTTAATATTTTTAATTTGTTAATGATATATTTTGTCTGAAATTTCAATAATTATTTTTTTAAATGAAATAAGGAGGTAAATACCTACCCTGTCAAATGTTATAAACTATTTATTTTTTGTTCTAATACAATGTAGAAATTTTAAGGGGTCTTATATTGCTATTCAATCATTTTTATTTTTTGTTTTCCTTTTCGACCAGTTTCTTCCAGACAAAATGTTAACCAATCAATAATAATTAGCAGTATTTGAAGCAATAATTATAAATATAGTTATGTAGTAATTTTTTTTTCTCTAAATAATACACTTTGCAATTTTTTTTAAAACTCAAGATGCGAACCCTGCTTTATATATATATATAGCTTATAAGCCTTAAAATGGGAAAACTGGAACAAAGTGACATTTTATATATTTGCTTGAATTATTTAAAGCCACGACAAAATAACTTTAAAATAAAAATTGCTGCCACTAGAAAAAATTTCTTAACAAAACAAAACAAGTGGACAGTTTTTTTTTCTTAAAAAATTTTTTTAAATTGCTAAAAATTTATTCGTCATGATCCGACAAGTGATTGTGATGATCATCGCTTCGTAATTTAAAAATAATTGTTATTTGATGAAACAAAAAATGGTTTTATAGGAAAAAAAGAAAGTTACAATTGTACCAAATCATTTAAATTCTGAAAAAAAAGAAAGATTTTTAGGCATATAGTTTTTCACAGTTTTGTAATTCGCGAAAAAAAAATACTAAGTCAGAGGCAGAAAAGCTTCACCTGTGGTAAAAAAAAAAAAAAAAGAAGCTAAACTATGTAATTTTAAAGAAAGGAAATATTTCAGACAAACGTTCTGCTACAATTTTTGCACTTCCAACTATACGCAATAAGAAAAAAAAAAATTCCATTGCGCACCCGATTGACTTTCGTCTTTCAGATAATAGTAGGGCAGATTTGTTGGCCACTTTTTCAGGGCCAATGTTGCCCCCACAGTAAGGACAAATAGTACAGAGAATGAAAGAACATCCATGCCTTGTCCGGGATTCGAACTTAGGACCTTTCCGAAGTGAGGCCAACTACTTGACCCTTCCGGCTGGCGCTCAAAGAAATTTACCGAAAACATTTAGTTTACTTAGCTTTACATGATAATTTGCCATTAGAATTGCCGTCGATAAGCAACTGCCATCATTTTAAGAAAGTTTTATTAGAATTTGACGATATTGATTCTTGTTTCCATATTTAGCAGCGAAATGCTAATTTCAGTTTTGGATTTTATATTATAATATTTTGATTTTCATATTTACAGTATATTTTTTAAGTTGTTTACTAGTTTTAGTATTTCTTGCATCAAATTTTCTCATGTGCATAAATTTTTTAATCACAAATTTATTATGATCTTCACGTATACATTTTTTTGCACTTCAGAATTTTCAATTCCTCCCACCCCCCTACTTTTATGTAACTTAATGTGGTTCTTTGAACTTTGAACTTGAGATATAATTTTTTTTCTTCTATGAATCGTCTTTACTTATCTAGGATTTGTTGATTTCAAATTAACAACACAAGTTGCCACTAGTACTGACTTTGCAGCCTCTTAGTGGCTAAGGCATTTTTTTCTTCTTTTTGTGTAGAAAAGTACGAAATTTAAATAAAATTTGTTTGCTAGTTCCCGAAACAACCCTTTGTGGGCCAGAGGAGTCACGGAGGTTAAGGCTTCACGGAATGTATCTTATTTTATATTTCATAACAGTCTTTGAACAGCCGACCCAATTTTTTGGGTTTACGACTACTAATATTTAACTCCTTAGCCTTATAATTTTGAACCCAATCTAGAAGATAAGGGAACTCCTGGATCAAGTATTGGGAGAAATTTAGCCTTCGTGGGGGACTTTTATAATGGAACTAATCCGCATTTGCGTTACATGGAGAGGAAGACCACGAGAACCTCCCACGGTTAGCTTGACGGCAAAGGGACTCTAACCCATGATCCGTTTACCACTGAGGATATTACACGTCAGCAATGTGATCGGTACAAACTGGAAGCGGATTCGTACCTGGGATTCGAACCCGTTTAACCCGAACGGTATCAATGTGATTATAGTTGCGCACAAGCTGCTTTTACTTTTCAGACAAGCTGGTACCCATCAATCTAAAGCTGGGTTGGCTTCAAACCGCCACTGGGGTTCGAACTCCGGTTCTTCATAACCACTGACCCATCACCACTTCCGACATAAAAAAATAAATGAATCATGGCTTAAATGACATGACGCAAATGACTTAAAATATTAATTAATCATGAAGATGGTTTTAAAGGATAAGAAAAAATTGGAAGTAACAGGAGAAGAAAAGGAGATCTACAAAATTATTAGAAGCTGTCTTTGCAGCTAACCATGAAATAATTCATAAAATAATAATAATAATTCGTAAAATAATAATAATAATTCATGAAATAATAACAATAATGAAAACAACAAAAAAAACGAACGTGAAAATGAAGTTCCAGGCTCTAAAAAGTTCAATGAACTTTAATTTTTTAAATCATTAAAACTTCTAAAGTATAAATTTTACTTATTTTTTTTTATTATTTCAAGTTTCTTTTAAACAGTATAATCGAAATTACATATTCAGGTTAGAAGTATAATTGCATCGTCGTTTTTTTAAAAATACTTCTTATTAAAAAATTGCGCAATTGTGCACCAACTTTTTGTAAATTGCACCAAGTTTTACCTTCTCCTCAAATTGCGTAATCGGTCGAAAAGATGTGCAGATCAATTTTCTATAACAATTATAATTATTATTATTTTTTTATGAGTAAATGTCGTCAATGAAAATAGCTACGGTCTTGTGTGATCTCTGAAAATAAATGAACAAATAAATTCCATATCAACATTTTGAACAAAAACACGCACATTTTAATGAACAAAGTAGACTTCGACACTAAAGAACGAAATGCAACCTCAATACATTTTTAATTCGCAGTTTCAATAAGAAAAATTATATTATTCGTGTAAAATTACATTATCTGTGTACACTACTAAGAAAGCAGTGACTAAAACTAAACATCAAAACCTGTTTTATTTAAGGATTAAACAGATTTAGAATTGAAAAGCAGTATCTTAATCTCCTCCAAAATTCACTAGGCAATCAAACTAGTTTTAATATTTCGCATTGAGTTTACGTGAGTATGAGTAATGATTTGTCAAATTTTGATGGCAAGCCCTCGCATATCCCTCATTGGGAGCATTCGCCTCCCAATGAAGTAAACCGGGTTTAAATACCAGCGATAGCTGGTCGATACGAGTTTTGCACCCGGCTCGCACCGACCACAGTGCTGACGTAGAAGATCCCCGATTGTAAACGGATCATGGGTTAGAGTCTCCGTGCAGCCAGACTAACCGAGTCTTTCACGAAAGCAAAATTTCTCCCAATATTTGATCCTTTTTCTTCTGGGTTGAGTTCAAAATTACAAGGCTACAATAGTAGTCCTAAACTCTAAAAATTGGGTCGGCTGCTCAACGACGGTTATAAAATTTTAATAACAGTTTTGTTTTTTCTCTCCATGATGTTCATATAAGTATTTCTTAAACTATACATTAATGGACAAAAATACCTTGTTTTATCCAATAAATATTAGGTGATGTTTTTAAATGCTGACAGAAATCAGGGTCTCCACCAAATTTCAGTAAAAAAAAATTCGCTGACTTTTCCGGGTATTTAGAAGAAAAAAAAATCGATGTAAATTCAGACTACATTTTATGCATACCATGCAATTTTTAATCCGAAACTTTTGATTTCTTTTTTATTTATATTGTCAAATATTAGATTTTGTGAGCAAGAAAATACCATTGATTGAGGATGGAAACATGTAAAAGTTTCACCAAAATTGAAATTTTTATAGCAAATAATTATAATAGATGTACTGTTACGGACAATTCTAAGACTGGTTATTTTCCTGGTAGATTAGAATTGCCTAACTCGGACCACTTTTTACATGTTAATTTTTATCAGTCACAAATCACTTTCATCAGTCACAAATTAATTTCATCAACCATAATTAATTAGGTTTAATATTTGTCAGGCATTTGTTAGGTTTTGTTATGTTTTAGGTTCAACACTTCCTCCTTAACTTTTGGGACCGGCATATTTTTAAAGAATCAAAGTCAAAGTTTTTAAAGAATCAAAGAATAAAGAAGAAAGTTAAAGAAGAATCACAGCAAACATTACATATCTTCAACTGAATGAATCTCACACACAAAGCAAACCATTTGTTTAGTCTTGAGAATGGGAGCCTATTTTTGAGCACTCGAGCGACTTTTATTTCCATCTCAATATTTTTGAAGCCAATTTTTTTTTTAAATCAAGTTCACTGCATATCTTCAACACAAATGCTTTTGAATGTTAATAATTTAAAAAGTATAAAAAAAATCTTAAATTTAGTTTAAAAAAGCAGTTTACATTAAATATAGCCTAGTGTCCCATACCTTGGGGATTACTTTCTGTATGTCTAAAACAATTTTTTATTGAAAAAAAATTGAAAATTTATGAACTGAATAAAATGATATAAATGTTTTAAAATTTTAGTTTATCCTTTTAACGTAAAAAATTTAACGGTGCATAGGCTGATTTCATTAAAATATATTCAATAATTGTTGCAATAGGGCAAATTCTATATTTAGGTTTGAATTTCTTTTTTCTTTTTGCATTATTTATTGAAAAATATTATAACATTTACTTTTGAATGAGTCAATTTAAATATCCGAGTTAAACTTTAAATTAAATTAACTTTTCATATTTCATTAACTTATTAAAAAATTTTGGGAGATAAAATAAGAAGTTCAAAACGGGACTGATCTGGCCCATTTTATTTCTTTCATATAATCAAAGAAATAAAAATACGAATATTCAAATGCCATTATGTTTTATATAAGCAAATTAAAAGCACCTAATTTTAAAGAGAGAGAAAATTATTTCTTATTTTAATATGCAATTCATTGTAGCTTAACTGAGGTTATTTCTCGCTCTGAAGTGGCAATAATCAACAGCACATCAGAAATATACTTGTGTACAAAACAGCAAATTTTAGCACAATTAAAAAAAAAAGCACAATTAAGAAAAAATGGGGTCTTGACACTGTATTAAATATTATAGGGACTATAAGAAAAAATAATTCTCCAACTAACAAATTTGATGTCAGTTTAAAAATTTTCATCTCATTAAGAAGTTAAATAAATTTTCATACATTAGTATTATTTTTCCAAGAAATTTTATCAACACTTCGCCACATAAAATAAATAAATAAATGATGGCAATAAATAGATTAATAACAAATGTAACAGTCAAATAAATAATTTTTGCTAAAATTGGAGATTAAAAAAAAGTCAACAATTTCATAAAATTCGGCGTATAAAATCAAATCTTATTCAATTAAAAATCAACCAAAATTTAAAATGAAACAGAAATAACAATTGGCCATAAAAATAAATAATTAAAATAAAATAGCAATAAATTAATAAATAAAAAATTAAAATAAAACAGCAATAAATTATAAATAACAAATGTAATAACCAAATAAATAATTTTCCTTAAGAATTGCAGATCAAAAAAATTCAAAAGTTTAGAAAGCAAATAATTTTAATAAATTCGAAATAAAATAAAATCATATAAAAATTAAACCATAAATTGATATTTATTAAAATGTAAGTAATATTGTCTTATAATATTAGATTTTTATCTGTACTTAAAAAAATATCAAATCAGCGTGCTTTTGTTATTTTCAGTTTGCATGTAAACAAAAGCACGTTCAGCATCAGAAATGCTACCGGTTGCATCTCCCACCCTAGAAGAAAAATACAACTCACCTGATCACGTGTTCCGGTTTATTTCCAAAGAATATTTTAAAAGAAGAAACAAATATCAACATCAACTAAGCTACAGTGATTAAAATCTTGACAAGATATTGTAAATAATCACGGTAATAATCACAGCACAACAGTAAATAAAGAGAGAACAATCTTAAATTTGCTTACAAGAAATGTCAGACATTTGAATTTTCCTCCGTATCGTCTGTAGCTCTGTGATTGGCTCGGAAGCAGGTAGAAATCTCTGTTCACGTGACAAAGTTCGAGGACAAGGAACAGGTTCCTTTTTTTTTCTCTCTCTCTTCATGCTGTGATGTGATGACTGAGGTGATTCATGATTTGGAGCATGGTGATTATTAAGTGTTCGTTATAATATAAGGAAGAAAAGGATTTTACCGATTAACCTTTCTTTCTGTTCTTTTTATACAAACTTGTTTTTTTTTTTTTTTTTTATTTTTNTTTTCTTTTTTTTTTTTTTTTTTTTGCGATCGAAACATTGTTTGCCAAGCCTATTCTTCAAAGATCATAACGGTTTTTCTTATTGTTTCATTAATTGGGTATCCTTATTCCAAAAGATCTCGCGTTATGTGGGGAAAAATTGTTTGAAAAAGTTCGGTTCATTAAAAAGCACATAAAGTTTTGGCTACAATACTTTTATGAAAATCTACATTCACCATGCAACATTATAGTTAATGTCAGAAATTTACTTAAAAGTATAAAAATAAAACTTAATTACTATTTTAAATGTAATCTACTGTGAAAAAAAATGTAAAAACTATTTAAATTTCAAAACTTCGAATTGTTTTTGCAAATTAAATATTTCTTTCTTAATGGGATGCCTGCAAGTGACGTATTATGGGTATATCGATACTGATTATTTGTGGAAATGTGGCATTTGTTTACGATAGCAACTGTTCTTTCCATTCGATTTTGAGTAAGCCAAGCTCATCAAGTATCAATGCCCTTAAATGACACATTCTATATATTCTTTCGCTAATATTTCAATTCTTTCACTATCAGTTTCTTACATAAAATAAAGACAGGCACGAAGCCACGTGAAACATAAACAAACTAATTATGCATCGTAGTTGCCAAATACACAAAGCAAAAATATATCACGGTTACAATAAAATACATAAACAAATAATAAATAAGTAAATGATGCAGACGAGAAAGAATTCTGCTTCAACAAATTTAATGTGCGATTCGGCTCAACACTTTAACACGCCATTTTGCTTATAAACGATCAGCTGGTGCTGACGTCATAGGTCACATGTGTGGGTATCAGTGATCTTCTTGAAGTGCAAATATCCAATTCTAATTTGTTTACTAATTTAATCAATAAATAAGAAAATACTAATCAACCTATTAAGTGAGTAAATGGAATTTACTAATCTAGTTAATAGAATCAATAACTATATCATGCAACTAGTTGTATCGCCATATGATAAGTTGTATCGTTAACCAACTAAATTTCTCATTAAATCAAAAGTTATCTTATTGCAAAAAAATAACTTTTTAACTCTCTAACCAAATCAATGTTTTTATTAGAACTGTTTTAAAAGAAATCCGAAATCGTTTCAAAATCGAAGCTAAAATAGTAATGTGAAATCATTAAGGAAAAATTAAGTTTAATGATTTTTTTCCTTAAAAACGAGGTAAAACAAAAATAAATCTTAGAAAAAAAAATTTTTTTTTGGAAAAATCGATCAAGCGAAATTTTTTTTTTTTTTGTTGAATGACAAGGTAAACACTAATATTATTAGGAAAAAAAAAAGAAAATGGACGATGTGATTTTTTCCCCTTTGAAGTGAAATTATTACTAAAAATTAAACTGAATGATTTTCTTCTTCCCCCCCCCCTTCTTTTAGCATACGTGGCAAAGCCGTTTGTGTCGTGGCCATTAGTGTGACGTGATAGGGATCTTTAAATTAGTTGGCCCAAGGGTCCGGGGTTTGAACCCGGTTAGTTGTCATTATTTCTGAAATTATATTTTTTTATTATTTTTCAATATTTTAACGTAAATAAAATATTCCTTTCACTTAAATTATTATTTTTCTTTTTTATAAAATCGAATAATAGCTATATGCAATAACTATATAGCAATCATAATTGCAGAAGGAATAATCTTGCAGATCGCAGGGAAGAAATAAAATCATGTCTTTTCAATATTGCAAATATCACCTTAAAAATAATTTATTTCAATTAAACTTTTTTAAGGTAAATCTTCTATGAGACTGATTAATCTCTTCTGAAAATTTAAAGAAATCCTTGGAAATTCCGAATCAAGGACACAGAAGGGAAAGATAATAAATAAAATCGATTATATTTGACCTGACCAAAATATTATTGAATTTAATTATCTTAATAAGAATTCATAAAAACAAAGTTTCATAGTTTTTTATTTCTCTGGTAATGCTTGTTTATATAGTTTTTTTTAAAAAAAGTTTATAGTTACAAAATTTTAACGTACACATTTAATACCTTGTCATAAAAAAAATCATAATTGTCATAATTGTCTAAAAAAATAATTGTCGTCTTTTTTATATTTATTTTTAAATAAATGCTTTTTTTAAAAAAGCCTTTCTTCTTAATTTAGAATATATTATTTTTTAGTTGTTGGACTTAATATCACTTATTTTAATTTATTCACTCTGTTAATGAAAATTATATTGAAATTGATGTATTCCTTTAAAATTAAGTTTTTTTGTATATTTTGTTATATTTTAAAAATTATAAATTTTTGTTTAGTTAGTTTTGAAATTGTTATAAGCTCTTAATTCTATTTATATGCTAATAAAAAAAAAGTTTCCTATCTTTATGCAAAGCATGAGTCTGTATAACTTTTATTTTTAGCCAGAGTTATTCAGAGCACGTGGCGCCCTCTTTTATTTTAGAATTAAAAGAAAGAGTCTGCATAAATAAAGTATTCAAATCTTAGAACTTATAATTTATTCAAGTGTTTCCGCCTGTCAATTAATAGAAAATAATTATTTTCATTTTAGAACTAAAGGGGATTTCGTTTTATTTTCTAGCGTTGTAATTATAGTAGAATATTTCTGAATTTATTTTTTTACTTCATAAGTTTGTTATAATAAAGGAATTATTTTTAATTTTATTTTTAATTATTATTTTCACTGAACCTTTATTTTCATTAAATTTTTTGAAGTACTTTTCTAATAAAAGCAATTTTCTTTAATTGTAAAACAATTTTTTTACTTTTTTGTGGCACGATTATCTTAATAAATTACTCCTTTATTATTTTTTTTTAAAGTGTGTTTATAATAAAAGCATCTTAGCTTTGAAAAATTGTAATCATGTTCTGAATTTATGTAAGCAATTGGAGAAATGCTTCATATCAAATTGAGTTTCAAGTTTCAATGAAATACTACCTTTTTTATTCCTTGTTTTCTAATAATTTTTTTTTAAATGTGATACATTCATTCAGATTTATTCAGAACTCAATTAATATTAATATTTATTACTACGGAAATGATTTGCTCAAAATATTTTTGTTTTAACTTGAACTGATAAAAAAATTAATTTTTTGCCTTACTTTTATGATCATAATAAAATTCTGTTTAAACGTACTACCTTAAATCATGCATTTAAAAAATCGAAGAAAGATAATGCTTTTTCTTGCAACATTAAGACATTGAAGTCTAAACACTGATTGCAAATAAAATATTCTACTGTGTTTAATATTGCAATTCAATAACAAACGATACATAAATATTAACTTTTGAAAAGATGGTATTCAGCGTAGGTCAGATACCGGGTGATTATAACCCTCTATCTTCCGATCTAAACAGTATTAGTATAGTGTGTGTTTGTGACAGTATTATTTTCAGGTCATTAAGCGAATAGTGAAGCTCTAGTGAGGCGTTAGCAACCAAATAATAATACAAAAACAGCACAAATTATAGTTGTTGCTGTAGTTGTTTTTATTTACGTCGCACTAGAGCTGCACAATGGGTTATTGGCAATGGTCTGGGAAGCATCCCTGAGTATAATCTGAAGGTATGCCATCGCAATTTTGATCCTCTGAGGAGAGGATGGCTCCCCTGCTTTGGTAGCCCGATGATCAGAGCGCGAAGTCTAGCTCTTTATTGTAGACCAGTTTCACGAGGACCGATACAGCGCACCCTCGGTCCCTACGCAGATTGATAAAAGTGGTCATCCACTTTTGCAAACTGACTGGCCGCAAACTGACCGCAGTCGGTGATGCTTGATTTCGGTGTTCTACTGGGAACCGTGTGTTACCAGCAGTTCACTGCAGGACCACAAAATATAGAGTTGTATTACAAGCCAGAGACAAGGGGAGAATCATAGGCCGGGATAGCCTGGTCGGTAGGGCGCTGTTCCCATGTCCTTGAGTTCGTGGGTTCGAATCCGGTCGGCCGAAGAGTCTCCGTGTAGTAAGGTGACTGATGCACGTTAAATCTGTCGAGTCCCAAAAGTCCTCCATGTTCCCATAACAAATCAATACCTCTGAGGGTACTGGATTGGAGATCGATCTTTCTCCGATTCAGGTCAAAATTACGATCTGTGGATGAATGAATGGGCCCGTCCTATAAACGGGTGTGACGTATGGTGTGGCAGAAGTCGAATTCTTGGCCATAGATGGCGCCACTGGAAAACAAGAACAATCGCACCCCTTCTGCTTAAACAGGCATACGTCAACAACAACAGGAAGAATCAAACCTTGCATGAGTGTTTGGAGTAAGGATAATTTAATACTGTCAAGAAGACTCATAAGGATCTTGTCTAATTGAAAAGCAACAAAAACTGAGAAGTAAGGGACTACTGCAAAGAAATAAAGAAATATACATCTTGAGTGTCGGAAATGCTCTCCAAGACACAGAGGCTTAAAGTGCGAGGCATAGATCTTCTTATCTACCACCTACCGAATTTTCGGGAGCAGAAATAGTTACAGAATCTCTATTTATAGCGAGTCCCGCAATAACTGATCGTTAAGACACTGTTCCCAGCAGATCACCGAAGTCGAGCATCACTATGCGCGGTATTGGTCCTCGTTAAACTGTTCTACCGTAAAGTGCTCAACTTCGCGTGCACGCCGTCGGGCTACCGAAGTGAGAGTGCTATCCTCTCTGCAGAGGATAAAAATTGTGATGGCATGTCTTCGGATCATCCTTAGGGATGTTTCCCAGAACGTCACCAATAGCAGCTCTAGTGCGACGTAATTGAACTAGAACAACAACTATTATTTATAGCATATTT